TGAAACATTTCAAAAACATTCCAATGGCTGATATGGAAATCGTTCTTGTAAGATTCTCCCACTCTTCAACTATTCTCGCACAGATACGAAAGAATGTTAGAATGTGTCTTTTCGGTTTGAATTGGTGCTGATATAGTGGTGCATTCACAGCCAGAGAAGAGAAATCCTGGATTAACTCCAATGGACTGGGTCACGTTTCTTGTTTCAGCTATAGTTGGATTGGTGAGATTGTGAAAAGATTGTGTCTTTGTTGACCATTATTTGTTTTAACTATCAGAATTGTGTATTTAATTTAGTATATCCTTAAACCCCCCCACCATAACAGGTAGCAGTTGTTAGTTCACTTGAATCGCCTACAGATGATCTTTGGGTTATGCTTGCTGTTCTCTCAACAGTGGTTGGCTATTGTGCCAAGACATACTTCACGTTAAGTGCTGTATCTCTGTATTTTTGCTCATAGTTTATCTTTGTTTGGTATTCCAATTCCTGTTCTGATAGTGACCAATCGGGCTACTTTGCTATGTTTGACAAACAAACTACAGTTATCAGCAAAACTTGGCGGCATATCAGAACTTGATTACCCAGTCTATGTATGACAAGCAGTTGGATAGTGGAAGGGGCACTCTTCTTCACCTGTGCGACGATGTGATTCAACAAGAAGTAATTTTCTTGTGTGCCATTGATTATTCCTTCGATGTTCAAGTGGTTTGTGATGGTAGCTTAAGCTTCTTTTCTTACTATTGGGTCAGGTGAAAGAGGTGATAATATCATTCTTCATATTGATGGAACAAGGCAAGGCTACTAGAGAGGTAAGCATGCATGACAATCCCTTTTGTTGCAACTCGTACTAAGAGTACTGGATTAGTTTAGAATACGATAGCTGAGTATGTATGTTTGAATCATAGGATTTGGATGTAAGGTGTGAGGAACTACTGAATGAAGAGTTCGGGGAAAGCTGCAATTTTGATGTAGATGATGCTGTTGAGAAGTTGGAGAAGCTTGGCATTGTTTCAAGGGTAAGTGGCCCCTACACTCTCCACTTCTTCCTCCGTTTGCTAATCATTTGTGTTTGCTTGCGTCTTATATCCGGAAACAATTGTGATGCAACCCGAGGTTCAATTTTCTCTGATTTGTTTGTGTACCATGAAACAGGATTCTCTTTCAAGGTATCAGTGTGTGGGGCTAAAACGAGCCAACGAGATAATTGGCACCACAACGGAGGAGATTGTCCTCAAGGCCAAGCAGGGTGTTAGTCCCCAATGACATACATGATGCCTGCCCCAACAGTCTTCCTCATGGGAATGGAGGTAGTTTATGCTCAATTTGTGGAAAGTTGTAAAGAGGCTTACTTCTTGGTATGGTGATAAAGAATGCGTGTAAATCCATGGGAAAGTTATGAGAGTTTTGATTTGCTATTTGATTTTTGGTGTTTAGAATAATAAGACAGTAGCAAGAGATGCTTATCTTGTTTATTTTTGTTTCTTGGTTTAGTGGATGAGTGACTGCCAGTTCTATAATGAGCAGTCATTTTACTGATAAGAAAACTAAAGTATGCATCAGATTTGTGGCCATAGCCAAGATCGAAAATCAAAAGAAATGGTATTATAGCTAATTAAGCTACAAGGGGTTCCTTTGTTTACTTGATGGGCCATGGCGATGCTTTCTGATCGGTGCACTAACATAAAAAGAGAAAGATAAGAGTCCCAATAGCAGAAAGATAAGTGTTCATGAACTGAACTCCTTCCCGCTATGTTTATGCCATTCCCTGATGTATTTCAGTCTTTTTTCCCCAAAACTTTCCTGGCAATTTTCTGCCTAGTCAATATATCGTGTAAATATCACTATATCTCTTTATCTCGTGTCTCGTGATATATAGTCAATTTTACTTTGTCAATTTATCGCGTTTGGATTTTGGTTTTGAGAACATGAGGCGTTTCTACGTTTCGAGGCCTCGGTCAATATATCCTGATAAATTAACATATCGTTTTAACAATCGTGATTTATATCCATCTAGTAATATCTTCAATTTCACTTTAGCATCACGAAAAAGGGGTTTGTTGGTAGTCCCGCAACGGAAAGAGATTTGCAAATGACTTTTCCCCGAATGACTTTTTTTTTCTCACTAATTTTCCATCTTAACCTTCCCTTTTTTTTTCATATACCAGATACTAACCCTTCTATAATCTTCAATTACTTTCAAACAATAAATTTCAATTATTTTTCACTAATACTTTTCAATTATTTATGTTGATATAGTCGTTATTATTTGGAGACCGATGTCAAATATATGTTATGTTTGTTTGTAAAAAGATACACTTTGAAAACGTTACAATTCATAAATAAAGTCAGCATAATTTTTTTCGTTCAAATTAAAAATAAATACCATTATAAATGGATAATAGCCAAATAATATGTTACAAAATAATTTTTTCGTGATTAGTTTTTTAGGATAAAAAATAAGATAATGAAACATATTACATATGAGGCCAAAATGATAATTGTATACAAATGTGTCATCTTATTTTCTCTAACAAACAATGTAAAATAAGATAATACGCGGAAGCAAAACAATCACACAAGACGAGATTTTAACGTGGTTTCCCCGTTCGTAATTGAATGAGACTAGTCCACGGAGCTTGACGCTCAAAAGCAATTTACTAGGTTTTTGTTCTTCCCTCTCTTAGGGTTTTCGGCTGGGTGCCGATACAATATATATATGTTTGCCTTTCTCCTTTTCCAGCAACGTGGAGAGTGCAAACTTACAATATGATCCCTATACTTTCTCACTTGTATAAAAGGATCACAACACTCCCCCTCAAGCGAAGGAGTGAATGTCAAGAAGTCCTAGCTTGACAAAAAGATTATGAAACTGATCAACACTCAAGCCCTTCGTGAACAAATCCGCTGGCTGATCTGCAGTAGCAATCTTCAGAGGAGCAACCTCATGAGACTGAACACGTTCACGGACGAAGTGGCAATCCATCTCGACGTGCTTCGTGCGTTCATGAAAAACCGGATTAGCTGCAATGTGCAGAGCAGCTTGATTATCACAAAACAGAGGAGTAGGATCAGATGACGGTACTCCAAGATCTCGCAGAAGCCAGTGAAGCCAGATGATCTCACTGACCGTGTTAGCCATGGAACGGTACTCAGCTTCAGCCGAAGAACGAGCCACCACAGTCTGCTTCTTCGTGCGCCAAGATACCGGCGAGTTACCAAGCATAATGAAATAACCCGTAGTGGAACGTCGAGTCAACGGGCAACCACCCCAATCCGCATCGCAAAAGGCCGTCAAACGAAGAGGGGCCGACGCAGAAAGAAAAATCCCACGTCCAGGCGCAGACTTTAAATACCGGAGAACACGGACAGCAGCATCCTCATGAGCCTTAGTCGGTGACTGCATAGCTTGACTAAGGAGGTTAACAGCATAGGTGATGTCTGGCCTAGTAACAGTGAGATATAAAAGGCGCCCAACAAGTCGACGATAAGCACCCGGGTCAGTAGCAGGAGGGGAAGGAAGTCGTCCCAACTGATGTTGCTGCTCAATGGGCGTAGAACAAGGTCGAGCAGCCTCAAGACCAGCACTGACAAGAATGTCAAGGACATATTTACGCTGATTGAGGACAAGACCACGAGGAGAACGAGCAACTTCAATGCCCAAGAAATACTTCAACTGCCCAAGATCCTTAATGGTAAACCGATCATGAAGAAAACCTTTGACGCGGTTGATAAAACTCATGTCATTACCAGTAATAATGACGTCATCCACATATATAAGAGCGACCACGGAGATGTCACCGCGTCGATAGGTGAAAAGAGCATGATCAGCACGACTCTGAACAAAATCAAGCTCAAGAAGTGCTCGAGTAAACTTCTGGTACCAATTACGAGAAGCCGCCTGGCGATGTCGGGACATCAGACGCAGGAGTGGAAAGCACCTCGGGGTGCTGCTGCCGAGAAGAACTGGGCGAAGAAGTGCTCCCCAACGTGGCCCGATCACGAAGAGGAGATGTGGGCGGAGTCCTTTGTTCCTGGGGACAAGTTTCAGAGGACTGTACAGCAGGCGAGGTCGTTGTGTTGTCCAAGATTGTAGTGTCTTCGGAGCAAAATGATGGCACCAAATCATCAGGGGCCGCCGAAGCAATTCCAAAAGAAGGCATGGAGACTTGAGCAGGTGTGGGAGACTTGCCATCCTCCATGTCCCGATAAGGAAAAATATGTTCAAGGAATTGAACATCCCGTGATGTATAGATAGAATGTGTTTCAAGATCATACACACGATATCCACGTTGAGAGGTGGGATACCCAAGAAAGATGCCTGCGCGCCCACGTGCACCGAATTTGTGCAAATTTTTGTGGTTGTCCTTAGCATAAACCAAGCACCCAAAACTGCGAAGATGATCATACTGTGGATCTTTCTCAAAAACCAGCTGAAAAGAGGATCGATTCCTAATAGGAACCAGCGGCATCCGATTAATAAGATAAGTTGTTGTCATAACACATTCATCCCAAAATCGGAGTGGTAAATTTGCATGAAACCGAAGAGCCCGCGCAGTCTCCAATAAATGCCGATGCTTTCTCTCCACAACTCCATTTTGCTGTGGTGTATCAGTACATGAAGTCTGCAAGACAACACCTTCTTGCTCATAGTAATCGGTAAGAAGATTAGTAGAGAATTCCGGTCCATTATCAGCTTGTATGCGCCGAACCTGTTTCCCAAACTGAGTGCGAACCATATTGCAGAAATAAATTAAATGCCTCCCAACATCTGATTTATAACGCAATAAGAAAACCCAAACTGCACGGCTAAAATCATCGACGATGGTCAAAAAATAATGTGCCCCTGAAGTAGAAGCAGTCTTGTAACTTCCCCAAATGTCAACATGGATCAATTCAAAACAAGTCTTAGTCTTAATCGAACTAAGAGGAAAAGATTCACGAGTCTGTTTAGCCCGCAAACATGACCGACAAGGCTCCTTATTTTGAATAAAAGAACAATCCAAAGTTTTCTCCAAACAATTCATCTTCGCCAAAGATGGATGCCCAAGCCTTGCGTGCCATAGCTCCGACTTGTCCAAGGATCGTCGAACGGAATGTGCTACGACATGACTGGCTTCAAGTATCCTGAGATAATATAATCCATCGATGTGCTTACCCATCCCAATCAGCCTCCTGGATGGTAAGTCCTGAATTACACAGAAATCACTCATGAATATCAATGCTACCGGAAGATCTGCTGTAAGGCGACTGACTGACAATAAGTTGCACTGAAATTCTGGAACGTGCAAAACACGGTGCAATGACAACTCATGAGATAAACTAGATGTCCCAATGCGATGAACTTTAACACCTGTACCATTCGGAATCTTAACCTGCAAATTTGGAGAGGAGTCCGTCTCGGAATCCAATAAAGAAGCCTGGTTAACAATATGTTCATTGCAACTAGAGTCGATAACCCAACTCCTAGAGTGAGTCGAAAACGTACCTGCCATATTTGATGCCGGTTCAGCCGCTGCCTTCTTGAAATCGGCATTCAAAAGCTGTTTCAGTTGGGCTAATTGATGAGCTAATAGACCGAGAAGAGAACCTTCGGCCGAGTCCACCTGAGCTGCTTGCGGGGAAGCCCTGGAACCACGCTCCGGTCTCCTTTTTCCCTGCTCCTTCCCATAATCTCTTTTTGGTGGAAAACCAATCAGCCTATAGCAAGTCTCCTTCACATGTCCCGTGCGCTGACAATGGGTACACTTGAGCTTCCCATCTGCATCGCGCGTTCGCCCATCATTATCGCGGTCCTTCTCCCTTTCACGATCACCCGACGCGCCCCAACGATCAGCCCTTTTCTCCCCCTGAGCTTGAAACACAGCAGCTTCAGGACGAGGACGACGGCTGCCAGCCATTTGACGCTGCTGCTCGTCGTTGGTAATAAGCTCATACGCCTCAGCTAGAGTGGGAATAGGTCGCATCGCCAGAATCTGTGACTTTACAGTAGAGAACACGTCATCCAAACCCATGAGGAAATCGAATAAGCGCTCCCCCTCACGAACTTCGCGATGACGCCTCTTGACATCACAATGACAACCCGAGCAAGTACAGTCCAGGTTCGGTGTAAGGGAACTAATCTCATCCCAATATCCACGCAATTTCGTGTAAAAGGCAGAAACAGACATTTTCTCCTGCTGCAACCAACCAATCGACCGCTTCAGCTCGTAGAGGCGGGACGCACTCCCTTGCCCGAAACGACCTTGCAGGTCGACCCATATCTCTCGCGCTGTCGACGCAAACCGAACACTGCTACGAACTTCCTTTGACATGGATGTCTTCAACCACCCCTTCACCATCGCCTTGCAGCTCTTGTAGGCCTCTCGCTCGGCCTGATTTTTAGGGGCAGGAAGCGTTCCATCAACAAAACATAGTTTATCCTTGGCTATAAGAGAATCCGAAATATCACCAACCCACTCCCCGTAGTTGCTGTCTGTGAGCAGCTCCCCCACGAAGAGATTACTAGGGCTATCGGACCGACATAACTGCAGGTGCGGCGGCAAGACCAGCTGCGGATCACCTGAAGAATCAACCGTCACTTTCGACGAAGACTTACCCCCTGACTCATCATCCGAACTCATGATGAAAGAACAAGAATGGATCTCAGCACAGCTCTGATACCATGTAAAATAAGATAATACGCGGAAGCAAAACAATCACACAAGACGAGATTTTAACGTGGTTTCCCCGTTCGTAATTGAACGAGACTAGTCCACGGAGCTTGACGCTCAAAAGCAATTTACTAGGTTTTTATTCTTCCCTCTCTTAGGGTTTTCGGCTGGGTGCCGATACAATATATATATATGTTTGCCTTTCTCCTTTTCCAGCAACGTGGAGAGTGCAAACTTACAATATGATCCCTATACTTTCTCACTTGTATAAAAGGATCACAACAAACAACACATTTGGAAACATTTACATTGTAAAATATCTATTCAACTAAATAACACCCCCTACAATTAGGAATGACAATTTCAACCTAACCCGTTTTATCCGACTTGTTTGAATTGTTTTGGGGTGGGCGGACATGGGTACTCTCATCAATCCGACCTACAACACCAGATCTCGGAGGTTGTTTAAGATTTGGCTGAGTCATAAAGAAAGCTTCCTACTTCCAGAGATTCACCACGAGTTCGCGTTTGGGACTTAATAAAATGATAGGAGGTTCATTAGATGGGCGTTGTTATAGAATTTGATAGATCTACAGGAGATTTTCGGCGTCAACTTAGGAAACGAAGAAACGAATGAAAAAAAGAAGAAGATATGAGCTCTTTTACTAATAACTAATTGAGTTGATTGGGATGGATAAACAATACATTATTTTATGTAATTCGAGTGACCAATGTAATTTAGCCCAAAATTTACATATGAATGACAAGAAACATAGTAAACACCAGCCTTCATTTAAATTATGAGAAAATTACATGGCCATTTTTATCTTATTGAGTGCTATACTATGGCATATACATTTCTACGTAATGAGACTGCAATTAGCAGCCAAAAGCCCTCTAATCCCAGACCCCTTAATTAGCTACAAACAAACATACATATAAGAATGGTCACTGAAAAATGACATACACATCATATGGACACACTATTAGGCACTCCTCTACATGTCACACCAGGCTCAGAGCTAGGAGCCAGTAGCTCATATGGCAACACACCAGCACCACACCTGTTCTTTAAGCTAGGATCACTGTTCCGCTTCTCGATTTCCTTTTCAATCCGTTGAATCTCTACCGAGAACTCGAAGAATGCCTCGACTATCTCTGCATCCCCCGACCATATTGACTGCTGCTGCCTCTCCCCAAGGTACTCCTCGTCGGGCGAGTGAGTCGACAGAGTGTCCACCACAGCCATGAACTTAGTAGCTTGAAGCAAACTAGGAAGTGCTGAGAGGAAGTACTTTTGTGGGTCGGCTTGGAAGTTTTCGTACTCAGGGTCACCCTGTTCAGGGACGTGCCTCCTCATTAAGGGAGGTCTGTTGGGCACGTACCCTCCATAAGGGTACTGCCCAAAGTTCAGCGCAGCATGCTGCGCTGAAGAGAGCCAGATGATGGTGGTGAGGATGGAGACCAGATCCTCGCTGGTCTCCAACTTGGGCCACCACTCTGCATCAGAGAGGTCAGCGTGGCCCACATTGACTGATTCGGAGTACCAGAGCTGTAGCTCCGTGTCGTTGGTGATCATGGTTGAGGTTGGGTAGTAATGGTTTACGTAGGTCCGAACCCAGTTCTCGATGGCGAACCATATCAGGAGACCATCTTGAGCATATGGGTAGTCCTCAAGTAGAAGCTTTAATCCATGTGGCTGTGTTGGGTCTGGTACTGCCATTCCCCTGCATTGATCAAATTGGGGGAGAGAGTTATAAAGTTGGAACTTTTCAAGCACAAATGGGGTGGACATAAGGCTGTGCAATAATGGGCCAAAAGTAGTCAGATGTGAGAGCTTTCAAAATCTTACACCCAAATGAAGCCAAACATTAGGTTCATGTTATAGAAGTTTGATAGTGTCCACCATGATGAAAATGGTATCTACCAAATGATATCAATAGTGTACTTTAAATGGGGCAAACATGAGGTGCAATAATGGCAAAAACCAGCCCAAAATGGGGACTCAAAACATACACCAAAATGAACAAACAAAAACTTCATGTTAAGGTGGGCGTTGTTACCTTCTGATGAGATCAGCAGGGAGGCCTTCCTTGTCGAAACGCCAAAAGTTCTTGTATGCAGCTGCACTAATGTCCATACAGTAGCGTCCAGGGGTGAAGCAAGATTCAATAACGCCATCAGCATTGATCAAGCTCTGACGGGCAAGGGCATTGATCTCGAGCGTATACCTCATGTGAGGATCCAGAAGCTTGAAGATTGGGTGCATTGCACTCATCTGCCTGTGTGCTGCCAGTATAAATGGCTCCATGCAGGCATGCGTTCGCAACCTGTAGCATTTGAAACTCTCAGCCCATCAACAAAACTAGCCACGAGAGTATGTATTCACGATAATCAATTACTTTTATTTCAGGTCTTACCAGTGATTCACTAGCTGATGAACACCAGCATCATTGGAGCAAACATGAGACTTGGCAAGCTGCCAAATCCAATTGCTGGTTGCATCAACTGGAGGAGTAACCACGCGTTTTGTTCTCTTACATGGTCCTGAAGGTGGCAAGCTCAGCTCTATTGCAATGGGTTTAAGTGTGCCCTCGGATGTCAAGAAGAATATGGTACGAGTTGCATATGTGTTTCTTCCATCGAGTGCGTTAATCCGGTTCAAAAATGGAAGGTAGGCATCATGGTAGTCTACTATAAATAGCTTCTTCTCCTCCAAAGCCTGCAACAAACAAACAAACAAACAAAGGCATCCAAAGCTTAATGACTGTTCACGAAAAAATGACCCAACTACAGTACATTCACATTACTGCAGAACGTTTCTGAATCATTACAGAGATTAACGAGGTGACAATTATATTAGTTACTCCAAATTTTAGTGACAAGTTCTTTAAAAAAAGTTCAGTAACCAATACTTAACAAACCAAATTTAGTGATAGTCTATGTAATTTGATGGTACTCTCACATTAGTTCGGAAGGTTCTCTGAGTTATAGTACCTGTTGAACAGACATGCCATGGAGTTGTCCCAAGATGTGTTCTTCCTTAAGAGCAGATTCCAGAGGACCATAGGTTTCAGGATCCAGGTTGCTCTTAGGTGGGAATTCCTTGAGAAGTTCAATGTTCACTGGATTAACACCAGCAATGGATTGGCGGGCAAATTCGTCATCTCGCAACCAGGCAAACTTGTCCTCTGACAGAGTGAGAAATCCCATGACAAATTAGCAGAAGAATCCAAAAGGTTCTATGACTTGGAAGTGGGGGAAAACTATCATATTGTCACTTATCAATTAAAAAACTATCAAATTGCGATGATTGCACGCAGCTCCTCATGTGAAAGTCTGCTATTACACTATCATACACTTCAAAATATTTGGATGAGCACATTTTTCATAGGTTCAAGCCTGGATCAAGGGACCAAGACCCTTTTCCTTTGTTTTTTACTACAGCTGGCTGTCTTACATCAGAGTTTAATTATTTAAAAATTATGGAATGTCATGCTATGCTGGCAGGAAATGGGCGACCAGAACAATCTAGGGATCGTTTGGCAATACAAATGATTATAGGATGCAGCTAGTGGCCAGTGGCCATGCCCTTTCCCCAAGAGCAACCCGCCTGCCAAACAGACCCCTAATTCTTAGAAAATAATGTCAGCAGTGCTGTGCTGGAAATGGATGGCCAGAAGGAAAGTGAACAAAATGTTCAATCAAATCGGTCACTTACTGGAAAGAATCTTGGGAGTGTCATATCTCAGAAGTCCTTCACTAGACTCTTGGAACTTGGTCACCACCCTAGGCAAAGGCAGCCTCCTCCAGATTTCGTCCTGAATCCCAACTTTGAGAAGGAGACCTTCTTTGTAGAGGATGTCAATGTCAGTGAAGGCACTGAAATCTCGATTCTCCGCAGAAATGCTGGCCTTCAGAGATGGGACCAGAGTGTGGAGAACTGCTTTCAGCCTCCCATATGAGAAAGTCTTCTGCTTGGACTCCTCGAACTGTTCATCTCTAGGCACATACATTGGGGATGGCTTCTCCACACGGCTCTCAGC